AGCACGGGCCCACTGGCTCCGGGCAGGGGAACGGACCGGCCCTGCCCTGACAGCCTTCCTTAAAGCCCAGGCGGCCGAACAGCAGCCTGCCCCAGTCGCACTCCAGGCGCACAGCGGCCGCCTAGTGACCAACCCAGCACAACTGCCGCAGGTCGTGGCAGACTACTGGGCTGAGATCAGCCGAGCTCCTGACTTCATCAGCCCCAGTGCCCGACAGGAGGTACTTGCCCAGCTGTCTGCGGCCAACATCAGCCTCCCTGCAAACGCAGATGAACAGCTTGGCTCCAAAACCATCACAGCAGCGGAGCTACGGGTCGCACTGGTCAAGAGCCAGCCCGGCAAGGCACCAGGATGGGACGGCATCCCAGCCGACCTATACCGCAAATTCTGGTCCACCATTGGCAACACCATGGCGGGCCTCTTCACCGCCATAGGCGCAACGGGGCAGGTGCCGACCGGGTTCCTGGAGGGCATTATCACGGTGCTCTACAAGAAGGGCGACCCCAAGCAACCCGGTAACTACCGCCCTATCACGCTACTATGCGCCGACTACCGCCTGCTCGCCAAGGTACTGGCCAACCGCCTGGGGCCGGCCCTGGGGCGCATCATCACCCCCGAGCAGTCGGCCTTCCTCCCCAAACGGCTCATCGGGGCCAGTGTGATGTTCCTGCGCCACCTATCCCACCTCCTCCGCAAGCAGAACCGCCGGGGTCTCCTGGCATTCCTGGACTTCGCGAAGGCATATGACATGGTGGACCGCGACTTCTTGCTAGCTGCGATGGAGGCGATGGGGGCGGGCCCGCAGCTGTGCAGCTGGGTTCGGCTACTGCTCAGCAACACGCAGGCACGAGCCATGGTCAATGGCTTTAAATCAAGGCTGGTTGGGATGGAGGCAGGCGTGCGACAGGGGTGCCCCCTCGCGCCTCTGCTGTACCTCTTCATCGCCCAGGCCCTGCTCTGCTGGCTCCGGAGCCGAGATGTGGGGGTCAAACTACGGCCGAATGACCAGGACCGCGTCACAGCCTGCCAGTTCGCGGACGATACTGAAGTGGCGCTGGAGGGCGAGGAGTCAGTACCGTCGTTCCTAGAAGCCATGGAGACCTTCGCAAGGGCGTCAGGCCAGTGCCTCAATGTGGAAAAGGTGGAGCTGTTGAGGGTCGGTGCTGAGAACCAGCAACAACAGCAGCAGCCACAACCGGCGGGTAGGCAACAGCTGCAGCAGCCACTACACCAACAGCCGCAGCAGGAGACAATTGGTGGACTCAAAGTGGTCACCACCGCCACAGCC